GGCGCCGCCGTGGAGCGGAGCCGGCGGGGCAGCGGCCTCGCCGTGCGAGTTAGAGCGGGCGCCTCCTTGAGCTTTCTCGCGGGTGACCCCTCTCCCTGCCCTCCGTCTGCGCCCGCTTCATGGCCCGCCGAGGGCACCGCAGGAGCTGAGTGTAGGTGAAATAGGCTCCTATAGGGAACAAAAACAAATAATGAAAATAGTAATTAAAAAGGAATGTTAACTGCTGATCATTTTATGTAAAGAGAGGAGGAGGAATCTACATAACCCCTGTTCCCTACAAAGCTACACAGCTCTTTATCGTCCACTTTGCTACTTTCTTCTTCTTCTTTTTTTTTTTTTTTCTGGTTTTCCCTCATAAATTCTGCAGCCTGAATTTCTGCTTTGATTTTGTTGTTAAGGTGAAGCAAGACTCGGCTTTGGAAAGGCTGTTTGGCAGCCCAGCGTTGTGCAGGTGGCTGCTGGAGCGAGGGGCTCGGGAAAGCAAGGTATGGTACCCCCTTCCCTGCCCGATGGTTTCCTCAACAGCCGGCCACAGATACCGGTACAGGTAGGCGGCAGGGCCAGCCGAGCTCCACCACGAAGATTAATGAGGTTAAGAACCTCATAAATCATGATAAGGAAACAATAAAACAGTAATTTTAAACAACAGTCTGGCAGCAGTAAATAGCAGCCTTCTGTCTCAGGCTGTGAACTGAGTTTTGTGAAGTTTCTTTTGGCATGATCAGAGATGGAGGCTAAAGGCAGTCATGTTGCTCTCTTTGCCTCCTCAAATTTAGGAACGCAAGTGTTTGAATTCATCCTTCATCAAGGATGTAAGTATATATTTTATGTATATTCTTTAGAATATATACACTTTAAGTATATTCTTAGCTTTAGGCGTATGCTTTGTTTCTTGAAATAGGAGGTACACTCCTGTATTATTTAAAGAGGTGTTTCCATAAATTAGTCTGTCATGGTTGTATTTTTAACTAGCATATAATTAATATTTCTAGTGTAATTTCTCGCTCCCTTAAAATCCATCAACAGATTCAGGAGAAAAAATGGCTACTTCAAGCATGTTCAGAGTTGAATGAGTTTTGTTAAGTAGCACTTAACATGTATATAAGTAGTACCAAATATTTGAACAGGAGAAATTGCTGCTATTCCTGTCAGTTCTTACAGTGCAGAGAGGTAGGAGCTAAGATTTGTGTTTCTCAAAGCATTCATAAATGAGGTAGGGCTCTGAAGAGGGAGGTGGCAAGTCTGCAGATAATACAGAATGAGAAGGTGAAGGGGAAACAGCTGTTAGGCATTTCTTGCACCAGAGGCCTCACCTCATTAAAGGAATGAATAATAAGTATTGCTGTGATGGAGACACAAGGATAAAAGCCTATTTTTGATTACTTAGGTAGCTATTTATGGATAAAAGAGGAGAAATGAACAGGCATGCCGGCATCTTTCAGAAGTGACCTGAGTAGTTTGGCGTACCATTCTTGCAGTGACTTTGAAGCCCTGGCAGCAATCAAGTATGTTAAGTCAATACAATAAATGTCGGGCATTGACAAATTCTAATGCCTTCTGCTTTGATGCTATGCAGGTCATATACGAAATATATATTGACAGTATATGAGATACATATTGACAATTTTGTGCTGCCTACACATCTGACAGATAACCTTATATTGATGAGGTAAGCAAATACAGTCAGAACATGCAGTCCACTCCCAGCTTTTATGATGCTAAGATACGATCCTGCTGTAATCCACAGGACATGATAAATAAGCTTTTGCGATTGCTGAATTTATCTTGTGTGGAAGCAATGTTTGTGTAGTCGGAGCTGAATGTGTTACAATCACCCTAATGAGTGATGCAATGCTAAAACATACTTTTCTAATGTCATAATTCAGCTGTTTATAGTCAGGGATAAATCATAAACCAGCATAGTTTTTCTGCACTCAGATATGAATATAGGTCTGTTTTCTGGCCTACATGGGATCCAGTCAGACCTAAAGGAAGCGGATATGTATCAGCTGGAGTACAGTCGCTGAGGAGTGGATATTTGGGCTTTGGTGCATGAAGATAGTGTTTCCTGTAAATGAATATTTCAAGTTTTGGTAAGTATCTAGAATGAAACTGCTTACCACATTATAGGTGATCTTTAAGATTATTAAACAGTTTAGGGGATTTAACAGGTGAGATGGAGATGTTTTCACCCTCAGATAACAGTCAGGTGAGGGGTTTGCAAAATGTAAGAAAGAAATTTTTTAGCAAAAACAAAGGGGCCAAATGACTACAGGCAGCTCTTTGAGATACACGAATAGTGCGTATTGAACAGGAAGGGGAAGCACTTGGAAAGAGCGTTTCCTAAAAATTGCTGAATGTGAATGTGTGATCCTTCTCTTGGGAAGCCACATGGAGCACGTGCCTTTCAGAGGGAAGGCAAAACCCCAGCCTTGCCTTTGGGACACAATTATGTCCTGGCAGTGGTTTTTGTCTGTCCACAATATAGATGTGTTTGCCTGAAAGATGCCTGCCCGATCGCAGCTCCTGCGTGGGAGGAGGTTGTTTATACCTGATTTTGCCTTTTCACGTGAGGTGCTACAGATGGGCAGGCTGGGGCTGTGTTTCTTATCCTTAAAAAGGAAGAATAATAGGTCATTGTCTGAGGAAACTGGAATTATCATAAAACATTGCCCAATATAAACAAATGAGCAGAATAAGGATTGGGAGCCAAGAGTAGGCAGCTTGTGCCTACCTACTTATAAAATAAAATGTCACTGGCTCATGACTTTCTCAGGCAGCCAAAAGTCATTGTCTGGATTAAGAGCAGCTAATAAGCAAAAATTGCTTTCTGTTATAGGTGTCCTTCAGAGTATCAGTTAGATGCTGCTGAACTGCCTGCATCCTACTTCTGTTCTGCAGTGAACCTGAAGATCTTTTGTAATGAAATAGTGTCCTAAGATGTCAGGATTGCTGCAGTGTTTCAAGTGTCCTCAATTTGAGATTCATTCAGATTCAAGGGAGTTCTACTGTTGATTCTTCCTTTTGTCAGCAGCATGCTGTTCCTCTGAGTTGGATTTCTTTTTTTTTTTTGGTGTGTGTTTTTGAACATTCAGAAATAAAGAATCAGAAGAATCCTGCTATCAGAAAGATGTTTCAAATACCTTTCCAGCCTCTTTTGGCCACTTAGTTAGCTGAAGCTGAACTTCTTGGACCTGAGAGAGCTCATTTCAGTACTCAAGCTCATTTTTGTAGTACTGTAGTACTTCTGGTGAGTATTTTTTCACTGTATTACAGTTTTTAGTCTATACTGTAAATACGGACTTAGAGGCTCCACTTGATGCTTTGTTACTTTTGTTGTTTGTTTGTTTGTACCTCTCCCCCACCAAACCATGTAACATAAAGGATTGCATCTGCAGTTTAAGAAAACCCAAATGATTCATTATTTCAGCGGGTGCAAAGCAGACGTCGTCTCATTGTTCAGCCAGGTGGAGGGCTGAGCCAAGGAGGAGTTGGCTGGCTTTCTGCTTTTTGCGCTGTTTATTTCTTTTGGAAAGTAGTCCCTATTTGTGCTCCTGTTGTAGCTTGGGGAGTATAACTCAGTAAGGGCCTAGAGAATCAGTGCAGGTAATAAGGTCTTGCAGGACAGAAAATAATTCTCCCTCACTCAGCAGAGGAAACCTTCTCCTCCTCCCTAGAGGGAAGGGGAGTCTGTCCTTCTGTTTCTTTTGAGAAATGCTCCTTCTTTCCTGTTTCTAGTCTTTTTGTTGAGAATTTCTTTCAAGAGGGTTACCACACCTTCTTGTTGCTTTTAGGTGGACTATTAGTATCTCATTCGGCCCATGTTTCCTGCCTCAGATCAGGTCCCAGAAACTACTTCCACCCTCCTGCCCACAAGGTTTTTAGCATCTAGACTATTTGCCAGCCTATTTCTTGGGTTGATGCTGAAGGCAGCTATTGAGAGATGCACTGCATTGTGCCGGACCACCAACACCCCTTCCTCTACCTTGCTACCTACACAGCAGGTAGGGAACCAGGGAACATGGGTTAGGATGGCAAAGTGCCAAAGAGGCCAAAAGCGAGATCCTGGGGAGTGGCAACTAAACAGAAATGGGTAAGCAAAGCTGTCTATAAACAGTGCAACTTTATTCCTAGAGAAGGCCAATGTGGCTCTAGCTTTTAGTGAGACAGGTGGGAAATAGTAGGCAATGGGGTACCTGGCAGCACCAGTCTTTTGGGATGCTTGTGGGGCTTGAGGCTGCTCTTGGGATGTTCCTGGACAGGAAGGGTTCATAGACAAAGCAAAAGAGGGTCAGTGAAGGGGAAGAAGGTGGAACAGGTAAAGAAGAGAACGAGGCAGAAGAAAAGTTAAACTGAGGAGGAAGTTGCAGTGGAGTTGCGAAGACCTGAGGGCAGGAATCCAGCAGCAAATCTGAAGGTTCAAAACCAGTTTGACTCATTAAATGGCACAAGGAGCATGTCATGGTATCATGTGAGCTTGCTGCACACTGAAGGACTTGGCAGTGGTGCAGCCCGCTCTGATCTTTGTGTCCCATTAGTGCCTGGAATGTATTAGGTACATGTATTAGGTACCTTCTCTAGAGGACTTTGCATTTCCTTTCATTCCTAAAAAATCGCATTTGTGTGTGCCAGGGTCACAACAGAAACCAAACAGTGGTACTTGGGGATGACAGTGAAGCTTATTAATTCAAAAGCACTGCCCTGATCCAAACAGAAATGCTAATGTAGGCAAACTTCGAGCAAAAACCTTTTGCAGACACCCATGATACCACTTTGGAAGTTGTAATTTCACCAAAAATAATTTGTTTATTCTGTGGTAAGATTATAAAAGGGCAGCCTTTTAAGTCCTAGGAACACCACTCTGCAGCTTAATTTCTTTTCTGCTACCTACTAATGGATAGGGTAGGGTTTGCCATAAGGGGATGAACTATTGGATTTAATTATTGGCACTTCATAGAATAAAAGGAGATGCCTGCTTAGCCAGGATATTGAACTTGTGCAGCTGAATTGATTCATAGTTAAGATGACTAGTTAAGTTACTGCCATGTGTTATTTAACGCCGTAATTCAGTTTGGCTAATTCCTTGCCAACGAGCAACAGGGGAAGCATGTTTTATTCCCTTGGAGAGTTGATTCCTACTTGCTGCAATTTGTGTCTCCATCTCACAAGTGTTAATGAGCTAGTCTGACTTAACACATCTAAAGCTTCAGTTGGGTTCCTTTGAGCAGTTACCCAAGCAAAGCTGTCATTTTGCCATACAGTAGAAAATCTGAACAAATAAACTGTTAATTTGATCACACTGCTGTGGCAGAAGTGCTACATGTATTAAATTAGATTTAAAAGATGGTCCAGAAACCACATTTTGCTCTATAAGCTACTTGCGGGACATCTTGTGAAAACTAGTTGACACATTGACAAGTTTCCTTACTGATGGCATCTTACTAGCTGATATATATATTACTATTTATCTGTTCCTTTTTCCCCCTTGAATTATATCTGATGAGTAAATGCTTATTACTGGTAAGGAAGTGGGTGGAGTTAGGGTGGAATCAAGAGTGGAAATTGTTACCATTGACAGTATCAGAGGTGGCATCCTTCAGAGGGCAGCAGCCTTCTCCAGGGGATGGTTTTGGCTCTGAGGATATGTGATATCCGTTTGTCTATTTAAGTTGGCTGGATTCTCGACTACAGATGAATAAATACTGTGCAAAAGGAAGCAGGTTGGCATTTTGAAGGAGCAAATATGGAAAAAAACAGAGGGTGTTCCAGTCTTGTGGAAGGCAAGATTTTGTTGGTCCTGCCGATTCTGTTTCTGGTGCTAGTTCTGTTGCCTTCGATGTTTAGAGTGTCGCTGGGGTTTTCTCATATCTATGTGAAAACTGTAATAAAAATGTTTGAGGTAAGTTCAGTATTGAGTTAAAAGGTATGTGTTTACTACAAGACATGCTTAATAAAATAGTTGGGATGTTTGATATAGATGGTGTAAAAGCAGAGTGACTTCTGTGAACTTTGGGAGTCTTGAATGTGCTTTTTATACCTTTTACTGATGCTGTAGCTCCTTCAAATGGGGCATTCAGTGATACCTAGTTATATGCTGAGCTGCAATCTAGCACTAACCTGATGTGTGCTCCTGTTAAAAAAGAGATTCCATTATATGGTTCTTTTGTAGGTAAGAATGTTTCACAGTGTATTAAATAGCAAATCTCACTAAAAGGATATATTTGTTTATGGGAGGTTGTAATTAACAAGAAAATGTATTTTAGAGGTACATAAGTTTTAATGGCTTTATTTGAACTATTTTAATTATGTAGTACTATTGAATACTGTTTGTGAAAAAAATGCCAACAGTATATGTCAGTCTTTTTTCATTTATAAATCTGGGTGATACAGCTGTCAGAAGCGCTGCTGTACAAGACTTGAGGAATCCAGACTGTCTTCTAAACATGTATCTTTTGCTGGAGATAAATACACAGGCCAAGGTTAAGATCCTGATTTTACCAATATTATTAGTGATACTAGTGATATGCATGGTCTTTATTAAGCCAGAATTGCGTTTATTTTTGAAATCCGACATTTCGTATCTGTAGGCGACGAAAAGCAGGTCCTCTGATTTCATTGTCTTGAATAGAGAAGAACTTCATCTTACCTGTAGAATTCCGTTTTTTTTTTTATGAGTATATTTTTGTAGCTGTTGCAGAAAATACATTATTACTGTTATTATTATTAAACTACTGGAGCCATCTAGTTGTGCAGTAGAAAATATCCCTATCGGTGCGATACAGCTTGTAGCACGTCCATCTTATCCCCCTGGTTCTGCCATGTAGCTGTCTTGTGTGTCTGCCCACACCTTCCATACTGGTTAAAGCTCTCGCTCAGAGACCGTCTACAACTGTTTTTACATCATCTAGCATGGTAGCACTTGAGTCAAACTTCACGGCTTGCATGTATTTTTTGGATTTTCCTATTAATGGGTGTTGACTGGCTCTAAGTAATGTAGACTGTGAAGCAACTCTGAGTAATGTTGGCTTTCTTATGTGCTAGTTTTCTATCAGCTGGCAGTATGCTAATTACATTCTTGCTGGTAACCCGAAAGAGAGGCTTGTGGCACTTCTGAGAGCAGTTGATTTCATCAGGCTCTCTCACGTCAAACACAAACCCGAGGAGCTCGCTGGACAGCTTTGCAGTTGCGGTCTGCAGATAATACTGCAATTTTGGTAGTTTCTTACGTGTTTCCCTTCTTGAAAGGAAATTTGACCCACTGAGTGGGCATTTACTATCAGCAGGCAATTCTCCTGATGAACACATTAAATTTTTTTTTGTTGTCCATTCAGGTTGTCATTCATTCAGGTTGCAAGCAGGGTAATCTTATGCTCCCAATATGGAGGAGTAATTTATTACAAAATATGTATATGCAATCAAATTAACTGTTCTGAGATCAGATGCAAACTTATATGCATAGTTGCCCAATTTGCAGCACCTAGTAAAGGACAGAGCACAACATAATGTGTTGTATTTCTGGTTGGTTCCAAGTGGTCTTTATTTCGTTTTCTTTTTCGATTTAAAGTTATTATCTAACCGTCCTGAAGGGAAGAAAAAAAATCCTGTTTTCATGTTCTGATTCATTGCAGCTGTTTTCTCCCAGGTCGTGATCAAAGTGCTCTCACTATGACATGAGAGTAGCTAAGAGATATCTTGCTTTGGCGGTGGATCATGTTTTTTTGAAACTACTGCTTGAAATGCAGTTTGCTTTGAGCAGGCTTAGATGCTTATTTGCACCTTCTGGTCCAAAATTGTTCCTTGACACTGGTAATCTGGCCAAGTGTCAGCTTGTTTCTGGCCGGGATGCTATCTGGTTGCCCCAGATCTCACCCATTAGGAATGACACAAAGACTATGTTTGGTTCCTGTGGCTAACCTGATTAGCAATATTTGATGTCTTGCTAGATAACTGTTTTTTAAAAAGTAATCTTACACCAGTACATGATTGAGTATGTGCTGCCGACTATATTTCAGGAATGTCACTGCTCTGGAAAGTGTTTAACAAGTAGCTGATATTTCACCCAGGGAAAAAGAAAAACAAAAAACTATTGAAATTGTGACTGGATTCTCCATTGTCTGGTATTTGATTTAATCCCCTATGTAGTTTACCAAAAAGAGTAGAAAATGAGGACATTCTGATCTGAGAACACTTTATATTTGCTTCACATAGCTTTAAATGACCACATGACAACATGAGAGGCAGGGAGAATCTGTGTTTGATCAAATCCATACCTTATATCAACATGAGAGAAATAAAAGGATAGATATTAAAATCAAGGGTTTAAGGTCCAAGGGCATTTCTCTGAAAGCTCTGTTTGCAAAGACAGAATATCTTTAGCCCTGTCTGAATTTCCTGGGAGCTCTAGGTCTCTTAAGACCAGGTTCAAGTTAGCAGGTCTGTTCCTGAGCAGTGTGTAATGGTGGCCTACGGTGAGGGACCTCATTGTGTCCCTTCCGCAGGGTCTAGCGCCGAGAACAGGACCCGCAACCAGCAAGCGAGAGGGAGTCTGTGTACGGCAAGACTTGAGTCTGTGTCCTTTGCCTCCCCTCCTCAGCTAGAGGAGTCTAGATGTTCGTTTCTTACCAAACGTGTTATTTCTGAAAACAGGACTCAAGACTGGAAAATCAGCTTTTTGTTTCTTTTTCAGGGTGGGTAGATGGTATAGCAATAAAAGATTTGCTAGTATGAAATAAATACTGTACCCTCTAAGTCCTGTGGGCAGCTAGGTAAGTGTGCCCTGCAGCTGTAGCCATGTTTCCCAAGAATTTATTGTTAGGAATTTTATGAGATTCAAACTTCCTTGTGTAATTGGATTATGAATGCTTCTTCAGAAATAGCTGTGTATAGGGAGAGCATCACCCAGCTAATGTTGTGGATACTTCTTTGAGCTGATGTGTGGTGGATTTACCCAGGTCCAGAAATGGACTCAAGAACAGACTAAAAGTAGCCTGCCCTTACCAGTTCATCTTACTGTAATCTCAGGTAATATTTTGATAGAAACCGTATTTATGTAAAGCATTTTCTGAGAACTCTCCCTGTAAAACTCTTGAAATCTGGTGCCCTATTCCCAGTCTGGAGAGCGAGTCCTAAGAAGTGTTCAGCCTCCCGCATGGCGCAGTCAGCATTGCTTCACCCAGCTGCAGAGACTGTCTCAGGCTGCTCTCGTGCACACAAAGTGACTTCTGCTTCTGGACAATGGCTGTTGGGCTGTCTCAAACCTCTTCCAACTCTCATGTTTTGCTAAAGGGCTAAGAACCCCAAAAGTTCAGATCTGTCCCAGAGGAGAGTTTCGGGAAGGTTTGCAGGAGCTCATACAAAGGGCTCCCTGCTCTGCTTTTAAGTATGCAGTTATTCTGAATTAGCCACTGCAACATAGAACAAAGAAATCATCCAAACACAGCACAAAGAAATCTGGACAAACAGCTGGAACTCTCCTGAACTGATTTATCTGCCCTCTGATGGGCAGCCAGGAGACTTCTGAATCCTTTCCACTATTTGAAAACACAGTGTTAGAGCTTGCACTTTCTCTGCAGACAAGCATGGGAGTATAAGTGAGTATTTTGTATTGTGTAGCTCTTAATGTTCATGTACTATGAAGAGAAGTTTCAAACAGGTGAGCTGTTGTAAGGTGTCAAGCTTTCAATATTCAAGCTGGGGTTACCTGAGGGATGTTGGGACGTCTTGTGTCCTCATCCTTCAGAAATGGGAGGGAGGAAAGCGCAGTGCCTGGGTTTTCATTATTCAGTTGGCAAACCTAGGAATGAAATTGCACCACTGAACAGTTAAATTTTGCTTTAGTTGCAACATCTGTGGTTTTGTAAGCTATTTAGAACATCCTTTCATTAGTGTCTCAGCCAAGACGAGTGTGATTGCTCTGTCTCAATACTGTGCAAAACAAAGGCAATCAGCAAGTCTTACTGTGTGTTTCAAAAACAGCTGAAATGTCAGAATGTCACCAAATACCTAAGAAGGTAAAAACTGCTCCACTGGGTTGGTCCAAAGTTTGCTCAAGGCTTATAGCTCCCTTTGAGAGGAATTGACTCAAATGCTTGACCCCGCATAGCAGCAGGTGAACGTACAGCAGTACTGCCAGGGATATCTCAGCTGCTCATTGCTTGAGCTCCTGGTGCAAGATCCCTTGTTTCATATTTCATGATGATTTTCTTCCGTAGCTGGTAGACTATGCACAAAACCTAAGGATGTCCAAAAATCTGTTCTGGGTTGTGGGCTCATGCAAAATTGAAAGTCTGAAAGATGATGAAAATGACTTGAGATGGCTTCAATGGCTGGGCATGTCAGTAAGAGGTTTTTGGCAAGAGCTTGCTCTGGAACAGCAGGCTAGATCCTTGCCCTCTGTGAGTGGGAGGTCTTCTGGCAGCTGGAGATACTCGATGAGTTGGTAGTTGCTTTCTTAATCACAAGCAGAGCCCACACACAAGACTCCCGGTGCTGTTAGGGCAGACACCTTAAGATAAATATGAGAAGAGGTAGTATTGAAAAGTGATAATGCTTACATGTATTTACTACTCTATTTTGTGGCAACATAAAACCTTAAGAAATAGGTAATAGTATTTCAAATGGTCTTTTTATAAAGATTTGTGTGTTTGTAAGAGATGTTGTGATGTGCTGCATGTATTGTAGGAAAGTGTTTTTTTTTTTTTTTTCTTGGTATATTCGAGTTTGCTAATTGAGTTCCGTGTTAGTTTGCAGAGGGGAGCAAATAGAGTTAGCTCAAAAAAAAAAAAAAAGTACAGGGAAGGGCAAATGCTCCTTACTGAAATGTCTCCCTGAAAAGCACTATTCAACAAGAAGTGTCCCCCTCCTCTCCTTTCTTCTCTTAACACAAACTGCGTGACTGTTCCGAGGCTGAGATAATCTCTGTTACTCTTTAAAAGACATATTAAAGCCATTCCTAAATGCTTCTCATTTCAAGGACAGTATTTTGTTTCATTTGCCTGAAGCTGACTAGGGAAGAGAGAGCTCTGGCCCTCATAGCGTCTTTCAGGTAGCTCAGTATCTGGTTTAAAACAAAAGCCTGCATGAGCTCTGAAACAAGTTTGAACCCAATAATTTTTCATGACAGGGGCAAAATGTAGTCAATATAACAAATGAAAGGTGTTGTGCATGACAGCTGAACGTGAAAAATCAATGAAACCCTAAGCCAGGGTTTCACTAAAAAAGGCTCAGACAAGTCACAAAGGGATTTTACAGAATAACTGGCAATGACAAAATATAAACCATCAACATTTGCTTTTCTTCTTTTGGGAACAGTGGGCCACCCTGCAGATTGAGAAGGGAGTAAAAAAGCAGAAGGCGCTGGCACTTGAAAATTTAATCTCCAATGGTAAGAGCTTTGCATGAAAGCAACACAGCAATATTCATCTGGTGAAGTGGCAACTGTTCTAGCATCCTGCCTAGGAAAGAGAGGACAGAAACAACTGGAGCTGATAAGTAAGAAAACCAGAATGGTCAGAATGAAGTTCAGTGAGCAAAGCAATCAAAGAGACTAAGCGCGTTATAAGCAAGATGCCTGTTGCTGGATCTTCTGCATAGCAGGCCTTACAAAACCAGAATGGTCAGAATGAAGTTCAATGAGCAAAGCAATCAAAGAGACTAAGCATGTTATAAGCAAGATGCCTGTTCCTGGATCTTCTGCATAGCAGGCCTTATAGAGAGCAGTGTGGGGAGAGAAAGACATGTCTGAAAATTTGGGAAGCTGTCTCCCTTTTTATAGGGATTTTTTACTTGCTGACTCCATCAATTTTCTCTCTTCAGAGGTTTGGTGGATTGCTGACTCCATCAGTTTTCTCTCTTCAGAGGGTTAGGTGGAGGAATGGATGTTTCTTTGCCCCTGACACTTCTTTTCACAAGTTCTCTGTTCTTCTGATTACTCCTAGTATGTAAAAAGAGTGAGTTTTAAGTAAAGTGGTTGCATCAGCCCTTGGATCACTGTTACAGTTTGAACTCTTCTCTAGGTATGGGGATAGAAGTAGAGTTTTGTTTTCCTACTGTTTTTCCCTTTTTTTTTTTCCCACAGAGAAAGAGACTGGCTCAAAGTCTCATAATGATCCTTTTCCGTGTAGTGGCATTTTCAGTCATAGGAATCCAAGGCAGATTGTCCAATTTGTCAGCTGAATACTTTAGGATCTGATGATCCTAATAGCATCCTTCCTGATAGCGTTGTTTGTTTAACATTGTGCATATTTGTGGGGAAAATGTTGTCAACTTCATAATTTTTGGAAGTGAAGTGACTCAAAAAGGAGAGAGGATGATGAGGAGGAAGGAAAACATATTACAGGAAGGTGTAGTATAAGAAAGAATAAATGAGGACAGCAACAATAAAATAAACACTGCCTTTTTGCATCACAACAAGAGCAGGTACCCATAATCTTGCCAGGGCAAGGTTGCCTGGTAAAGGATAATGAAGATGATGTGCTCAGGGTTAATTGGTAACCCCTCTGAATGCTTGTCTCTTCTTCAACGAGAGATGTGATACGGCACAGGATTAGAGAAGCAACCTGTGGAGTTAACGGCTAGACCCTAAACCAAACATACCAGTGCAGTTACTGCGAGTGCTTACAGAACTACTCCTAAAAAGAATGAGTATTTTCCTCTTTCTGGAAATTTGATTGTCCATTTTTCTGTGTGGAAGGAGGACTCATTTCCTCATGCAGGTGTTTCTTGTTTGCTTTTTACTATTAAGGGATCATCGAGAGGGAGGACACCTCTATGGAAGAGGAGATGGCTGGCCAGCGGCAAGGATGCTTCAACCTTGCTGATGTTTTGTACTTCTCCAAGAAGGGCTTGGAGGCTGTTGCAGATGACGAAGTCACGCGGCGGTTCTCCTCCGAGGAGCTGGTCTCCTGGAACCTCCTTAGCAGAACTAATGTCAACTTCCACCAGGTCAGCTGGCAACTGGCCTTTATGTGGATCACTGGGATCCTATTCCGCTACTGTCTCCTGTTGCCTCTTCGGTGAGTCAGATGCAATTAGCTGCAGTTTTTTGTTTGGTTTATTTTGTTCCTTCTTGCAAAAGATCAGCGATATGGTTTTGATTAGTGCAGAAATGAGAATGTGGCATGACTTTTTGGCTCTGGTTTCTTTTATGGGAGAAAATATTTTAAAAACCATTACGGTGCATAAGGATATCTTAGGTCAGTACACTACTTACTGAAATACATGTGCCTCTGTGTAACCTTAGACTGACCGTTTAATGAGACAGCTTTCCGTGCAGAAATGTCATTAGTAAATACTGATATTTAATTTTCATAATTATGTGGTAACTTACTTACAGGATAGAAATATGTCCTGACATTTCTGGATAGATTTTTAAAAACAAAATGATGAGTCTCTGCTTTGTGTTTTGTAATATAATCTTACCTACTTTAAAGAATCATGTAGCCAATATTTAGCCTCATATAACTTGGTGGATTCTTTACTACCTGATAGCCTGAGCTCAAGCTGTGATGCTTTTTGAAATACATGCTCCAGGCATACAGAAGGTTTTGGATTCAGTGCAGGATTAACTGAATGAAAATCTATGATTCCTGTTATCCCTTTGGACTTAATGGGTTTGTATTGCTAATTAGAAGCTACTAATGGAGGAGAGAAGCATACTAGAATGGATAAAGGGATTAAAAGATTTTTTTTTTTTTGCTGATCTCCTAGTTTGCTGCTTACCAGTAATTAAGAGGTTTATTTTACTTTGTAGCATCGGCTTGGCTTCTTTCAGTATCCTCTTCCTGGTTTCAGCAACCACAGTCGTAGGACAGTTTCCAAATGGCAGGTAAATGTGTGCTGAGAGCTCTTTACATTTCTCTTGCATTTCTTCAAGTAATTCAATTAGGGCATTAGAATATAATTCTGCCTGAGCTGAGAGGATTAATTGCGAAAGACTGTGGGGTGTTATTTCTCTGTTGTAAACTCACAGAGTACTGAAAGGTAACGGTATCTAAAAGTGATGTGCAGGGCAAGGCAGGTAGATGCTGCTGGAGTAACCCAGAGAGCTACTGCATTTTACAGTGGAAAATAGAGGATGCTCTTTGTCTCAGAACAGGGCAAGTAAATCCTGTCATGAGCAGCCAAGTATTAATGCTGTGAAGTTGTTAAGTTCTGCCAGTGCAAACAACTCGAATGTGATTTACCAGCTAAGTGTTTCTATATTTAATGAATGTTAATGAATGAATTAAAAGCAGTTTCTTCCAGAGGAAATCTGTAAATCAAAACCTGCTTGAATTCCCTCTGCTTTGAATCTGATTTTATAATAAACCTGAACAGAGGAATGGAGTCAACAATATCTTTGATAATGAGTTAGTGTGCCCTGTCAGGCACAACTATTGTAATAAGTCATCTTGGAGGGTATGTTTTGCTAAACAAACAAACAAAAACTGTTGGGATAAGTTGGGAGATTTCCATGACACTGTGCTCTGAGCGACTACAGAGAACTGGAAAGGGATGCAGGGTTTTATTTCTTCCAGGGTTAAATGCTGGCTGAGCAACCAGGTCCAGATGACGAGTGCCGCGCTGGGGGTGCGATGCCTGAGCGGGGCCGTCCATTTCCACAACAGGCGAGTGGTGCCAGCCTAGACTCAGCTCCGCGTTGTTCCTTCAAGTGCTCTCTGTGGGCCCGAGCATCTCCAGTTGCAGAGGGGGATTTTTATTCCATAATTACATAAGTAGTTTGATGGATGAAATTAGATTCAAGAATTTAGATAATCCAAACCCTGTCTTCCTTTCTCTCAAGGCATTTTGATACCACTACTGTGTTTTCAGTGGTGTATTCACGGGGTATACAAAGGTGAAATAATGCTCTATACTTATTTAAATTTAAACTCAGACGTTCTTCTCAGAACCTACAATGGTTTTATTAGCTGGCTTCACTAAATAATCCTTCATGTTCTTTCTCAAAGTACATTGTAGATGGTATTTCAGTAAAATCTTCTAATAACTTGCTTAGTTACTGCAATTATGGAGATATGTAGTGTAAGCTCGTGTGTTTTGTTTGCGTGTTTTTCTTTAGAAGACAACAAAAATCATGCTCTAGTATGTTTGAACTCAGAGTTTCAGTATCTGAGTGGTCTTTGATATATGCCTCTCCGAATGGTAAAGTATGGAACTAAAATGTCTTCTGCAGAGAAATTGCGTATGGGGACCTATGAGGAAACTAATATACAGAAATAAGGAATTTACTGAAATGCCCAAACTAGTGAATTCTGAAGGGTACTTTAAAGAATGAGGCAAGAGATGAGGAGTTACCTACTGTACTGCCACAAGTGCTAACTTGTGTGTTAGTAATATTCCTATTTTAGAAATATTTTGCATTCTTCTGCTTCCTAGGGATCTATAGATATGCTACATGTGTGAAATGCCTCTATGGCTGAGAGTTTCTGTGACTGGTGTGCATTAGCTAGGTGGATTTCTTGGTGGGCCCGGAGGCTGGAGGATAAACACCATGTAATTGCTTGTACGGTTGTCATTGCAGGGAAAACCGACCACAGAAAGGAGGCATCTGCGTAGCCAACCACACGTCTCCATTGGATGTTCTAATCCTGGCTAGTGATGGATGCTATTCTTTGGTATGAACAAGAGAATCAGTAAATATTGGCAGTGTTGAGATGCCCACAGATACTGTGGTGGATGAGGTCATATGCTTATTGGTAGAGAAATTAGGGTATGAGAGAGGGAGTGAGATTCAGATTCCCGCTTTCCGGACTGCAGAGTGATGAACACAGGTAGTTGTGGACACAGTTTTGACCGAGAGCACCAGGATCAAGTGTGAACGGGCTCAGAAATACATCGTCTTTCAGAACTTTCTCTTTTAAATGTGTGCATGTTTTTGCATAGTAACCAGCTTGTTTTGGGCTTGCAGGTTGGCCAGGTACACGGAGGGCTCCTGGGACTCATTCAGAAATCTTGCATGAAAACCACTCATCACGTTTTGTTTGAACGTTCAGAAATGAAAGACCGTCACCTGGTGAGAAAAAAGTAAGGTAGCGAGGTGTTAATTGTCCTGTGAGGTTTAGAAACTGTGAGCCATAAGTGTGAATTCAGAATGTTCTATCTCTGCATCTCTTCTTGCTGAGCGCCTGTAGGTTGTCATCAGTGTTAAGTTCTGTAACTGCCCCATCACTTTTGGAGCAAGATGTAACAATCTCCTTCCGGACTCCTGACTGTTTGCCCTGTAGCCTCTGGGAATTCCTGCATTTCTGTGATCACTCTGCCTGCCTCAAATTCAAGGCTCATGACTCCGGATGGCAGGACAGGAATTGAAGTTTTGTCAGCATATTTAAATTGTAATTGTCAATTGTTTCCAGCCATTGTTTATCTTCATGAAGGAGAATGAGGTGCAGCAAGTGTCAAGCAAGTGTCTGTGGCAGAAAAGGAACCTGGAGAGAAACTGCACACTCTTGATTCTTAGGAAAGAGGATATATGTCTTGGAAGGCTAATTTTGTGTGTCAATAAGTGTCCTCTATAACAGTAGTAATATATTTATTTGTAAACGATGCACGAAATGTAGTAAAATACTGTTAGAATTCTTATCTAGATGAAGAGAATCATTAGGTATAGATGAAACTGAGGCTAAGAAGCTGGAAGACGTGAAATCTTGAAACATGGAACACTGCTCTGCTTTAGGCAAAAGAAAAATTTGACTATTTTCATAGCTGGAGCCTGTCAGAAATAATCAGGAAGCAATTTGTGTGTGTCTCAAGTCTCACTTTTAACTGTTAAAATGTTTGAAATAGAAGGATAGCTATTCACTTTTGCAGAAAAGCTCCCAGATTAAGAACTGCAACAGTTCTTACACTGGTAGCGACTAGTGACTGGCAGAGAGCAGTTGGGCTGTGGCTTTTTCTTGTTGTATTTAAGCGATTGCATATGTTTAGATTAATGGCTGAGTATGAATGAGGGTTGTCTGTGAAAGTGGAGTTTACACTTAAATTTTATTTTTCCTTCCACAGAATTAGAGAACATATTGCAGATAAAACCAAATTACCCATTTTAATTTTTCCAGAAGGTAAGAAAAACTATGCTGATTTTACCACTGTGTTCACTTCTTGTTATCGTGCAGTTTCTTACACCTGACCTTTACAATGAAGTGCATTTTTTTAATTTTTTTTTATTCTGTAGAATTAATTAGATTTTTTGGGATATTAGAAGTCAGAATCCATTATTTCACAACAGTTTTATGACAATATATTTGGTTTGGTTAGCATAATAGAAGAGGGAAACAAAGTCTGGGCTTTATCCTCCAGTAATCAAAGTCTCCTTAAGGAAAATTCTGCTTGATTTGTTGATGCTTTTATTGGAATGGATAAACTCATCACCTGTTTTAATTCTGGCCAGGTACCTGCATAAATAACACTTCAGTCATGATGTTTAAGAAGGGAAGCTTTGAGGTGGGAGGGACTATCCATCCAGTAGCAATCAAGGTAATGGATCTCCCATTCCCAAGTTTCTCTGCTCTTTTTTGTCCTTGGGTTTCTGACTCTCTCTTCACTTCTCTTCATGAAGGAATAGGACTAAAAATCGATTATGTTTTTGGCATTTCCAGAGCTTTCTGAGTAGCTTTAGTGGAGCCTCTACCTCTGAATATATTAGTGTTTTTTTTTTTTCCTGCAGCTATGATGTTGTCTAATCTCATGGAAACAGTTGCAGGTATTGTGAGCATTACCAAGCAAACCTTGTAGTCAGTATATCTGCAGGTATAGATATTATTACAAGTTTTTACCTTTTTTTTGAGTGGATGTATCTGGATATAGTTGAGATTTGTTTCTATGGGACTGTCATGGTTTGGGCTCTTAGGTTATTTTAAAAGGTTAATTTTTATTAACTTTTATTAAAAGTGAAAACATGGAGCTTCAGCCAGCACTTATTGCTACTTTTAGGAGGTGTGATTATATCTGCCTTTTTTAGATTATATTTAAGAGGTTGAGCTGTGACTTCATGGCCAAAAAGAGCAACCTATGTGATTTAACCCAGGTGCGGCTGTAGAGCGTATGTAGTCGAGAATGGACTCCTCTCTTGCATATACTAGGGTTTTTTTGTGCCTCTCTACTGTCAAGTTTCAAAATTGATACTGTGAACTCCTTTTTTGAGTATGCTTTTGCTTTTTCATCTTTGAAGTGATTCTCTAATCTCAGGCTGATCTCTGCTGTTACTTCTGTGTATACATCATATACATCTCTGCATACGGCTTATATAGGAGATCATACCCTTCAGCTTCTTGCTCCTGTGTTCCAGTATGACCCTCGCTTTGGAGATCCCTTCTGGAACAGCATGAAATACTCCACGATGACTTATGTTTTCAAACTGCTCACCAGTTGGGCTATTGTCTGCAATGTGTGGTACCTGCCACCAATGGTCAAGGAGGTACTTGTGCTTATGTATGTTTTGGAGATGCTTCTAACTGTTTTCTGGGAAAAGTTTCGAGGAAGAGTCTTGGGAAGGGGCAATATACTGGCATTATGTTTTTGATTTTTCATTACAACCTTGTGGACAAAAGGCAGAAATGACACTGTGATCTTAAAATTAAGCCAAGCTTGGAAATGAGAAAGTGCAGCATGCTAAGACAGTGGAAACAGCCCAAATGTAGCCCTGCCTCCACAAGGGAGAGGTTTCCTTGGAGCACCCTTGGAGTAAATAAAGCTTGAGTCGGGGAGAGCTATACACTTTCTGTACCATTTATCTGTGCAAGTTGGTATCCCCAACTTGTAGTTGGGCAGTTCAGGAGTATTCACTGTTCCTACCTGCTTGCTGCAGCTAACATTGCAAAGGCAGAAAAGCTCTGGAAGAGGAGCTAGGATTGTCTCTCTAGCTTGTGTCTTGTCAGAATTCTTGGTTTGCCTAAGGCCATAACCTTTATAGCTGCCTGGTTTATACAGCACCCATCTTTTTAGAAATTGGAAAAGAACTGACCTTAATTTTAATAGACTTGCGCAGGTATAGCAGTAGTAAAGACAGATTTTTGGCCCCGAAGTTTGTTATTTTAAATAAAGGTGCCCTATGTCGTCTTTTCCTATGGATGTCAGTGTCTAGGCTGAATCTGCAGGGCTGGGAGGTTTTCTGCCTGTAAACTGAGGATATTAGATGAGGTAATCAGAGTGGCAGAACATCCCACTTCTAGTTCTGAATGGTGGCAAACCTCATGGACTCGCCAGGTTCTCCAAAAACCACAGGTCAAATTCGGGCCTGCCATAAACCTCAGTCCCTGCTCCCTAGCAATGAGTACCTCTTAAAGTAAGGTACAGAGAACATGTTAAACCTGTAAAGCAAATCATTTCTGTCTCTTTCAGGAAGAAGAAGATGCTGTTCACTTTGCTAACAGAGTCAAGGCTGTCATCGCTGCTCAGGGAGGGATGTCTGTACTTCCTTGGTAAAAAGCAACACCTTTTAAATGGGGTTTGAAACGTGGTTAGGTGTTCTGTAATCTGGAAGTTTGCACTACAAGCCTGGAATCTTTTGAAGTTTCTTCTAAATTTGCTTTGCTTTGGTTGTAGTCCACCACCCTTACTGACTTTGAGAGAGGATTTTCTTATTCCCCGAACAATTCCTCTAAAAAAAGGGCAACTAACACAGTTTAGAAAGAGGAACAAATTTGTCAGAATGTGGATCAGGCAGAATTTGAACATCAGGTAGAATTTGAAGAGAATTAAAAGAAAGGCATTGTTTATATTTTGTAATAAATCTTGGCTGTAAACATCATAAAGCAGTGTGCTGAAAAAGTTGATGTTTAAGGTGAAGGTTGCTTTGACTATAAATTTAAATATTGTAAACTTTATCTATCTTTACCATGAAATAAACTCAAGGATGTTTTTTAATCTGTATCTTCCAGGGATGGAGGACTGAAAAGGAAAAAGGTCAAAGAGTCTTTCAAGGAGGAGCAACAGAAAAAATACTGCCAGATAGTAGTAGAAAATGGAGCAGTGGGAAATGTCTGTTGAATGGTGTTTATTTTACATCTTTCTTTTTTTTTCCCCCAATGATTTATCCAGAAATAGAGCTATATTTTATATATTAAATCCCCATCTTTATGAACTGTCCTTGTAAGATAGGTTGCATATGACATAAGAAGTGTTGTGTTTTAAGTAAGAATGTATGTTTATAAATAGGAAGATTTATAATATATTTTTTTATTTCTCTCCAGTGTTGAGTAAGAACTCCCTGCAATAAAATTAGTAAGAGTGGCTAGAACACCAATTCTCTGATCCTTTGAGTTATCTTGAAAACTTAGATATTAACTTTTCAGCTCTTCATAAAACATCTCCATTCTCCCAGCCTACAGTAACAATTTGTTTTAGCAGTTTTGCTGTGAGTCAGAGGCACTGAGGTACATTAGAGATAAAATCTGCTGATGTCAGAAGCCATTGAGGAGTTCACCAAAATATATTTTCGGAGCTGGAAATTGGAGATGAAGCTTTGGCGGTCTTGGGAAAAGGAGCAATTGCAGACCTTGCTCGTCCCATTACAAGACAAGGGGTTGCAAGGCAGGAAGTGCTCCGAGGGTTCTTGCTGAAAAGCAGAAGAGCAGCTGACATAAAAGCATGTCCCAGATTCCTAGTTTTGTCACTGGGATAAACTAGTCTGAAGAAAGGACAATATGATAGAAAAATGCACCATATTGTTGCATTATGTCTTGAGTTCTGGATTTGCTGTATCTCTTTCTATATCTGCTTTTATGCGTTGCATGAATTAAAGAGAACTATGTCATGCCCTCTGTTAACATCTGTGGGACTTATTTATGGCTAGCTGCCTTCTTGTGTCATCGCTGGTTGTGAAAGCTGTTGATTGCTCTCTGGTGAGCCCGCCCTGCACAATTAATTCATGTGAGTAAGGCATGTCAGATGTAAATATTCCAGACACCTTTAGCATTTCCTTGTATAAAATGTTTGCTTTCCCTTTGAGTAGCTCTCACTAGGAAGAATCTGTCTTTTTTAATGATCTGAATGTCACTAATGAAGCGCACACAAATAGACATTACTTTGCTCTGCCCAAATTGCTGGAAGACAGATCAGGCGGTGAGGACAGTTAATGAGGTTTGCATTACCACAGCCCGTTGATTGAGTCTTGCTGGAGATGGAAGATCTGGCACGGCAAGCTGTGTGGACAGCACTGCACAAATAGAGACTCAAAAACTGCCCAGCCCTGGAGAGTTCAGAGTTTAATTATACAAAGCTAATATGGAGTGGAGGGGCTAACAGAGAGGTAGTAGCTTCCTCAAGGCTGCACCGCACAGAAATAGAGAACCGAGCTGCAGTGCATCTGGGCCTGGCCCAGTGTGTCATCCCCAAGTTTAGTTTTTGCAAATACATGGATTCTCTCAGTCGGTCAGTTGGCCCAAGCTTTGATATTTTGGGTAGACAGTACCAGAAAGTGCCTTTTGAAAAAGCCATTAGCCACCCAGCTAGAAAGAGTGCTAGCACTAAGACTGCTGGGTAGGTTAGACTGGGTCTAATGTGCTTCTTTCTTCAGGCCAGAGCTTCTGAAGCAGTCTTCCAAAAGCAACTTTCTGGCTGTTTGCATTATCATTACATAGACCTGCCTGGAATCAGAACTTCCAGGATGATTTATGCTTTGACCCCCTTTATACTAGATGTGCTGACTGAAATGGCTTGAGCATCCGTCTTCTACTTCTGGGTCCTGAGTTCTGGTTTAGAAAGAGGTTATTTTAACATTACAGCTATCATATTGAAAATATATTGCACTGCTTTGCTAAAAGGGCTAGGTAGCCTGAAACTGCTTTTAATCGTCCACTGTTGAAGTAATGTAAGGTGGATTTGATATAGATGATTGTCCTGGACATCTCCGTGTCACCTTGATAAACATGTTCTTTAAATTTTCAGAGGCCCAGGAATTTTAACTGAACCAAATATCGGAAGGGATCAAAAGTTCAGAGCTTTCCATAGAGTGTTCAGAAAAATAAATCACATTACAGACTGGTAGCTATGTGTAAAAACAAACAAACAAAACTGTTATGGAGATACATACATATATTGATATGTGATAGCTATAAGATGTGCTGATAAGCAACTTAATGACTCTTGCACTCCATGAGAACTGAGTCAGAGTTGATTAAAATATCTATTGATGTCCCAGAAATGTGCTTTATAGCCAAGGCAATGATTGCCATCTAGTGGCACCTAGTTATTGCTGGAGAAGTGTCCCACCTACAGTTCGCTCAACATTTCATTTAATGCAGAATCATCCTAAATACTGACAAATGAATGATGTATTTTTTTCTAGATTTCCAGGAAAATATGTTAAGTACTCCCTGCTGAATAGCCTGAAGGAAGCTACATACTATTGTGAGTCCATGTCTCTGCCTGTAACCTGTGGGATCTGGTACCGCTCCCCTAAAAAACAACTGCCAGCTGGCGCTCACTTTGGGTGCAGGTTAGGTCATCTTGGCGCTGTGACAAACCAAAAGCAGAGATGGTTCTGTGCTCTACCTACTTACAAATCAGCTGCAGGCCTGACCTGGTTCTTGTCTGTGTTTTAATATTCAACAGAGGTGGGTTGCAAGCCTGGCATGTTCCTGGAGGCCATGTGTCACTTGTTGTTTGCTATCATTAGTTCTTGTAGCCAGCTCCTTAGCTTCCCCAGTACATTGATGCTCTTTGCTCCTGTTTTGGGAATGGGGATGTTTCTGGATGAAACAGTGTTTTGAGGATGATGTTGGGGAGATGCTCCGAACTTGCAGTTCCTTGGGCTGTAGTGGAAACAGTGACCAGTTGAAGGCTGGGTAATCAGGGCTGGCATTTACTCAAACTCTTCCTTGTAAGCTTGCCACAAATGGAAAGGAGGGAATCCATCTGGGCAGCTTTCACCTGATGCTTATTTTAGCCTGAAGGTGCACGTCTGGAGGCAGTAGTTTGAGGCCTAATGTGGAGCTGGACAAAGCAGATAGTTTGCAGATCTTTACAGACAGGCCTGCTGTTTTCTGGCCTTTCTGGAGGATTTGCTTTGGGAAGTGACTGTGCTGTGAGGAAATAACAGTTTGCTCATGCTCTTTGGAGCATGTGTCCCAACTTTTATGTGGGCCGCTGGAGGTGACCAGGGAGGGGTTTATTTAGTTTTAGACAAGGCAGCTTAGAATTTCTTGAGCACATTAGAGAAGCAAAGCCTTTCCAGGTTTTATTTATTTAGTTTTCCTTTGTTAAAGCCATGAAGGATTTGAGCTTCGTGGCCAGTTCTCTGCTGCCCTCCTCCTCCTTGGTTTATTATTCTGTTAAACGATGGTTCTTCAATTAGCGAGCAGACTCCTTTGTGAGTGGGGTTCACTGTGATCAATGGTCATCAAGGCTAGCATTTAGTATACCCAATCAATGATATTCTCTGTAATGGCCCTGGTATTGACTGATTTCTAATTTTACAGTATGTTGAGCCCTGTTGAACTCTTTTAATATGATAATTGCTTTACTAATCAGTAGTCGTGATTTGTGTGCAAATGTGGATTATTGACAGCAGTGGATATACCTTGGTACTTGTGTTTGGCTATAAGGAGTGTCCTCCTTATATGTGGTGAAACAGGAACCATATCCATGAATATGAAATATATAATATTGTCTACAATATTATTCTTTTTGCATATGAGACTTTCTTAAAATATAATCTTATTAGATAATGCATAAAGAAATATTTCTTTTTATATGGGATAGCTACTAAATAGTCATTTATAACCTTATTAATAGACATCACCCATTAAACAGTAGATTTCATAGCAAGTAATAAAAATATTCACTAATTTTCACCTAAAATAGTAAGTGTGTATTATCAATTATATAATAGATTACAAAAAAAAAAAAAAAGCTCATTATGTATGGCTAAAGGCCATCTTCAATACCCGGAGAATGTATAACTTTACAAGAGACACATGAGATATAAGCATAAGTTATACATAAAAATATATCCATTTCTGCATGGTGCTATGCCGTTGCTCAAACCCCGGAGGCTCTGCCCTGCTCTCGCTGCCCCGTTACGCGGGACACGGGGTTCTGGGGGGTGCATTTTTGGGTTGGCATCGGGCAATCTGGGCTGCGCGGTGCTCTCGCTGTGGGGCCAGGAGGTGGCAGCGCTGCGCCCGGCTCGAACCCTGCCGTGAGGTACGGGCTCGTTTGGGAAGCGTATCCTTGATAGGTATGTTTTTCAAGTAAGTTAAGCTATTGGACAGCAGCATATTTTTGTCCTTTCCTGATGTGGAAGGTAGTATCCACATCAGCTGCCATTCTGATTACTTAGAATCGCTCCCCCAACCACAAAATCCCTGTTGTGATGGAGCCTCAGGAGTCTTTAAGCGTAGATGCTTTAAAGTGCATAAAGGGGGGATTATTGCTAAATTGCATTTTGATGCCTTTCTGGTATTACAGAGCTAAGCTTTAAGTATGTGCCTCAATATTTTGTGGTATTAAGGCCAGCATATTTAGCAGCTGGCAGGATCAAGCCAGATGCAGCCCACTGCAAAATGTTTGAGTGCACTGCTTGCTGGAAAGGTCCTCAAATGCTGTCTTCAGGCTGACAGGGAGCCTCAGCTGTTCCATGCCAAGCAATAAGGTTGTGCTGTAGATGGGAGCCAGATTTTCAAAAAGTCTGAGTTTTGGCTTTCTAAATTAAGAGTGGTACTGCTTGACACCCATGAAAATTAGCCCTTTTGATCCTACTCATGTGACCCTTGCAAATTAGAGAAGCATTTACTGACCTGGAGAAGGTATGACAGCAGTTTGACTCTGCAGCCCTCTTGTGATTTATTCAGCCAGGATGAGGAGCTGTCTGTGCCAAAGATGATATCATGATTTACTCAAAATAGAACAACTCCAAAAGAAGGAACTGAAGCAAAAGCTCTGACCTGGATTACCTGGGAGTCTGTTAGTGAAGACAGGAGGAGACTGTGTTTAAGCTCCTATTGCAAACTGGGGTGCTTCAGGGTAACCTCTGTCCCATACTCTCGGGGGGGGAGGGGGGGGGGGGGAAGAA